AATGGATCACTTTCTCCAGCTGCTGCAGGAAAAAAAAATTAAAAAACCAAAACATGTCCTCCAAATCTGGGTTTCCTCGTCACTGCCCCACGTCAAGAAGACATGTTTTCTAAGGGGTCTTTCTTCCCAGCAGAATGCTGCTTGGCACTTCCTGCTCGGGATTCAACTGTAGATCTCAAAGCACCATTTAGCCAAGAACCAGCAATCACTTTGACAAAGTTCTAGCAAAGTTAAGACTGGGAAGAGCAGCATCAAGAAATGCACCTGACATCTGCAGAGGTTGAGCCTAGATCCCAAATTTTCGCAAGGAGAAACTATGTCCTAAAATAGAGTTGTTTGCTGAAGAGAATAGCTGCAGTTTACAAGAAGGCAAATCGTAGGCTTAGAGCCAGAAGGGATCTCGAGGCTACCCACGCCAAGCTATTACTTTACAGGTGGGGAAACTGAGGCCCCAAGAAGTCACCTGTGCCAGGAAGTAAGAGGTAGAGCTGGAGGGGACCACAGGCAAGCCCTCAGCCTCCAAATCGAGCTCCCGAGAGAAGAACAAACTGCTTTTGAATCCAGATGCATAAGCAGTAAGACCATTAGTCAGTGATGCAAAGCACACTGCCCACTCTAGAAGGAAAGGTCTCTGAGCACAGAGGATCTCTGGCTCAGTCCCAAGCTCTGAGCCCAAAACTGCTGAGGCTGGGCAAGACAGGCCAGCCCCTGCTGCACGGGACACAGACAGCCTGCACACGGACAAGAGGAAGAAAGAGAAGAAAAGCTGGCAGAGGAGGGGACAGCGACACTGAAAGCTCCCCCTTTAGGCAAGGCTCACCCATACCACTGAGCAAGGAAGAGGAAGCTTCAGACAGGCGGGCAGGACAATCTCTTCAGAGGGCCACCTATTCAGAAGGAAAGGACTCATGACCCCCTCAGTAGCAAGCAGCAAGGATAGCAGCAGGGGAAGGCAGAAGTGGAGCTGGGCCGAGCAAGATGGGCCAGGCCAGACTGAGCTGAGCCCAGTGAAGTTGGGCTGAGGAAGCTGGGCCCAGCTGAATGAGGCCACGCTGGGCCAGACCGAATGGGGCTGAGCCCAGCCAGACCAGACCAAGTTGAACTGGGCCATACTGAGCTGAATTGAGCTGGGCTGGGCTAAGACGGACCAGGTGAGCCAAGCCAAGCCAGGCCACACTAGACCAAGCCAAACTGGGCTGAGCAAGCAAGGCCACGCTAAGCCGAGCTGAGCTGGGCTGGCCCGGACTAGGTCAAGCCAGACTAAGATGAGCCAGGCCAGGCCAAGCCAAGCCGGACCGAGCCAGGCCAAGCTGGGCTATATTGAGCTGGGTTCAGTGATCAAGGCCAAGCTAGACTGAGCCAGGCTGAGCTGGGCCAGATAGAGCCAGGCTGGGCAGAGCCAGGCTAAGCTGAGCTAAGCCAGGCTGGGCCAGTGGAGCCAAGCCACTGGCAGGCAAGAATCCTGGCAAGGAAAGCGCTTTTTCAATAGAGATGAAGAATGTGAGTAGAAGCGCAGGTACAGGAAAACGAGCCGAAATACAGAGCACCTCCAAAGTGCAGATTTCTCCCCCAGCCCAGTCCAAAATAATATCACCTCTGTGCTCTGCAAGTGCTAGTGATTTTACCAAAATGCCCGCTTGCTGGAATAATTCAAGAGCCTTTCTCTACATCTGGTTTCCATCTAAACTTGGAGTTTGTTTTATCAGCTTATTCCCTAACAAATGATGCCGCCAGGTTTCTTTTGTTACCCACTAGAAAGGTGTGTGGTGGTGGCTTGTTTTCTTTGGCCATTTTTACTTGCTGAGGCTTTTGTTCCACTTTGTGGAAAAGAGTACATTTTTAGGCTGCAGAGAAAACCCATTTATTGAACTTGAATTGATCAATCAGCCACCTCCCTTCTACATTCAGCTGTAGGCCATATTAAGGATGAAGTAAAATCTTTTTAATCTGGATTTCAAGTCAGGGAACGTGAGTTCAGATCGTGGTTCTGCTATTTACTGCCTTGGGGACCTCAGCCTCAGTTTTCCCATCTGTAAAAAGGGAGGGTGAGACCCAATGACCTTTAAAATCCCTTTTCAGCTCCAAAGCCTCCCGTGAAGACCAACCTGCTCTCCAGCATCCTCGGCCGCTTCATCCCAGAATAGTCTCCAAAGAAGGCCTAACCTATCTGCTGCTGCCTCCGGAAAGGAAGTTCAGCCCACTAGCACGGCTTCCCAGACTGAAACAGATGGCACTGCAATACCAGAAGCACTAGCATCTGAGCTTCCAAAGTCGCATTCAAGAAAAGCCACTTCAAGCGCCCCCTCTCCTGAAAGTGCCAAAGGCAAGGTTTCTGGGAGGCTCCAGGTTTCCTTGCTTTGGGGTTGGTTGTGTTTTTGCATAAATCCTGGGATGAGTTGTTGTGTTAAAGGCTGATCCTCTGTTGGAGGGAGAAAGGAGAAACTGAGTCACAAATCTCTTGGCCAAGCCAGTGATAGGTGGATGAGAGACTGAACAGACAGACTTGGCCCATCCAAGTGAAGCCCAGTTTCAGCCAGCAGCTACGATACAGTTGTTATCACCAAATTGTTTCCTTTTAAGATAGAGACAAAAGCAGAGTATCCCTCTAACCTCCCAGGGAGGAAAAAACAGTCCTCAGGTGAACATATCACAATCCTCAACCTTAAGATCACCTGGCTGCAAGGAACACCTGCCCCCCCCACCACCAAAGTAGACACCATTGGCCATTATGGAGTGAGGCCCAGATAGCCTCACCTTCCCTACTTTGGTTCCAAGAGGTCAAATGCACAATGGATCAGGGCCCTAAGTTCTACAGACTCGGTGAAAGCACAGGCACCCACTTTGGGCAGCATAAACACTAGGCCCCTTGGGGAATGGGGCAGAGAGGCTGCAAAAGCACTGGCTTGAAGGTGTCCATTCTCTCTGATAAAAAAGGGTTTCCAAGGTCGAAAAACACTGCAGCTTTCCCTAGTCCTCCTCACCAGATGGGAGGCTCCACACTGAAGAGCAATTCATTATCACAACTGTAACCACGTCAAGTTACTGTTCAACTGCTGATATAAATGAAAGCAGAAGCTGGCCCATTGACATCGATTCTTTTTACTCAATCTCTCAACTTTGGCCGACATGCAAACTTCTCTTTGGAAGGATTTCTCTAAGCCAAGCAATTCCTCCCACCTGGAGAACAGGTCAGTATTCTTGTGGTCCTTTGGCCAGGGTGCTGGACTCTGTCTGGGACAGAGGCAGTCTGTGGCTTCTGCTTGAACCAGACTGGGGCACTGGCTACTCAGGAGGAAGACAGGCCATCTGTTGATATGCTTGAAGCACCTCGACACCAGAAGGGGCTCCCCCCCAAGGAACACAATGGCATTCATAGCACCCCATCACACACACACACACACACACACACACACACACACACACACACACACACACACTTTTATAACTCCCCCCACGGAGGGAGAGAGCTCGGATCTGCATTCGTGCAGGGAACGGCAATCTGGGCCCAAATGCCCTGGCGCACGCAGGTAGGGAGGCAGCCCGGGCTGGAGCTCCCCCACACTGCCGGGGCCACTTCTTACACACTCTGGACTCACAAAGAATGTAATGGAACGTATGGAACACTGGCAGCGCAGCCTATAGGAGGCAGAATCCCATCCGTCAAATGCGGCAAAGACCCTTCTTTGTTCCCCATCTTTCTAAGTACAGGATGTGCTAATTAAGCCGGCTTCACTTGGGGAGGCTCCGCTGGAAGAGCTACCAAAGAAACCCACGGCTTCCTTCAACCAGCTGAAGAAGCAAAAGCAAACAATCCCAGCGGCCGCCGGCCAGCCTGCCTGCTCTGCCCCTCTTTTCCGCAGCATCATCCCAGCCCCTCAGCATTGTTCGCCAGTGTTTGAACCCAGAGAACTCCACGGTCCTGCACTAACACACACTTGGGACATCAGAAACCAGGCAGCATCTTCAGAACCACTGCTCTCCACGTCCTCCACAGCCCACAGGGCACACAAAAAGCCCTGGGCACTCACACGGGCCGGCCCCGTGGGACTGACAAACTCGGAAGGTATGGTGAAAACGGGGTTTCCCTAGTACGGACCTTCCAGGAGGGCAGAGCGTGAAAGTCACCAACCCGAGCGTGCCGTCCCCTCCCCCACCCCTGAATCCACCCCCCTACCCCCACCACCCGCCCCGCGTGGAATCAAAATAAATGCAATGAGAAGACAGGGGAGCGAGCAACGCCTCCCATTACCCTGGCCTCCCGGGCGCTGGTGGCAGCAAGCAGCCCGGGCGCGGGGCAGCTGCGCGCAAAGCCCAAATCTCCAGTGCCCCCGGCCCGCCCTGGGCACACGTAAACTTGAGGCAAACAAAAGAGTTGTCTCCCGATAAGTCGGAAACTTTGGGGAGAGCTGCCGGGCGCCGCGGGTCCCCCCAAGCGGGCTGCAGCGTACATGCCCCCGCCTGGGCTCGGTCTGCACTTTCCCCCTCGCTGCCCCCGGCCGCCGTGCGCTCCGACAAGACCCCATCCCGGCCCGGCCCGGCCGGGCCCAGCCCCTCAGCCCCAGCGGGCTCCGCTCCCGGCGGCACTGCTCCCGGACAAAAAGCGAGAGCGGAGCCAGCGAGCGCTGCTGGAGCCAGCCCGGAGCCCGCCGGGTCCGCGCGCCCGGCTCGCTAGCTCGGACACATTGTAACAATATCTGTCTGCCCGGGCAGGGCCAGCCCACTGGCGGCGGCGGAGGCGTGGGGCCCGGTCCCACAGGATCAGGGCGCGGGGCGCAGCCGCTCCGGAGCGGGTCTTACTCTGGCTCCGGGCGAGCTCCCGGCGGCGGCAGGCGCAGATTCCCTCGGGAAGTTGGCTGCAGCGGCTGCAGCGGCGGCGGCGGCGGGCACGGGGCTGCGGGAGCGGAGCGCTGCGCAGCGCTTTGTAGCGATCTGCGATCGGGAGGAAATAGACTTGTCACTTCCTGAACTGTTCGCAACTAGTCCCTTTAAAAGGCGCTCACCAAGAGGGCAGGGCTGGGCCGCGCAGCGCCGTGCAGTGAGTGCCTCGCCGCGCCGCCCCCGGGCCGCCGGTCCTCCTCCTGCCGCCGCAGCTGCTGCTGCTTCTGGTCCTGCTGCTGCTACTACGGCCGCTGCTACCCCCGCCCCCGCCCAACCCCAACCTAACGCCGCCTGCTCATCAGCTGGCCCCGGGCTCCCGAGCCGTGGCGGGCGGCGTGTGTACTGTACACACGGGGGGCGTGTGTGTATGTATGCGTGTGTTGGGCTGTGCGCGTGTGTGTGCGCGCACAGAGCCGCCAGTGGGCGGAGGGCGGGCAGGAGAGGGAGCAGCAGCGCATGGTGTACTGGGGACTGGCTTTGCTAGAGGGCGTCCTGGGAAAGGGGCCGGCATCTCGGACTGACCGGGAGGCAAGGGCACTAGAGCCCGCAAAGGCAGCTCCGGGGCCTGCTTCCTGGCCCACCTGCCCAGGTGGGAGCTGCCTTTGGCACTAGGGCACCGCTGGCTTCAGGCCCCTGTCCTTTTCCCTTCCCAACTCTCCACCAACCATCACAATGCCAACTCCCCCCCCCAAAAAAAGGGAGCGACTTGACCTCACCAGCCAGCCCGCTTTGGCGGGTGGTAGTCGTTGATCCCCGAGTTTATTTCCGTTTATGGGGGGAAGGGAAGGGAAGGGAGAGGGATTGTGGATGCATTGTTCCTTTGGAAAAATGGCTCTTTTCCTAACCTAGCGGGGCTGGAATTAAATAAAAGAATGTACTTCAGAAGCCACATCCAAAATACATGCAGCTGCTTAAGGAAGGATTTGCGGTTGCTAAGCAGAGGCAGAGTATGTTTGGTTCTGTAACTTGGGATGTTGACTTTAGTTCAGGAATGTCACCCCCAGCGAATAAACGGAGTTTTCATTGTGCTGCTTACCTGTGGCTGACTTGGACTGCTTTCCTTCCTGGACCAGCTGAGGCCAGGATTTCACATCCCTCCTTCCCACGGGGGCAGGTCATTTGGGTGACCTTCACTTTCTCCCCTTTTATCCCCCCCCCAAAAAAAGATTTCACATTTCTAGAGAATTGGGCTTCTTAAAATGAAAGGTTTTTCAATGTCCTCCCCATTCCTGTTCTGTTCTCTCGTGCCAAAAAACCAAAACACCTCCTAACTTTAAATGGAGAGTGTCTGAGCCATTTCAATGGTTCTATTCATAAATCAAGAAACTTTTTTGGTTGCTTCTAGGAACATTTTATTGGTTTTAATCCAATGTTTCAATCCTCAGCATCAAACATAAATGAACAATTAACTTCTTGAGTTTGTGTGCACTGACGAAACTCTTAGATTTCATGGCTATTGCCGAAATACTGAAGTTTTTAATCACACTGGACCCATTCTTCCCAGAAGAGCCTGAGCCTGACCGTCCCCTTTCACACGAAGCATGGCTCATTCCACTGATTTCTGCTGGTAGATGAGGATGGATACAATCTCTGGAAAGGTCTGGTTCTACTCATTTCAAGTGCAGAATGCTCAGTGTGACCCACTGATCTTAAGAAAGCCAAGACAATTTAACGCACTTCATATTAAGATCTCAGCATGGCCATATTTACATATTTCTTTGCATTAAAAATATTCCCAGAACACAACCTCGTGCTTTCCAGGTGCTTCTGTGTGTAAAGCCCAGACCCAGCCAAGTTGGGTACATTTTCCCAAGGCAGATTAGAGGCTAAACTACCAAGAAACACAAACACTTCTTGACAAATGGCATTGCTTCCTTCCTGCTACCTCATCACCTCCTCACACTGCCACTCATTGCTGGGACACAAGCCTTTCGTTAGGAGGCTGACAGTGACTCCTGCTGGCATTTCATTGCCTTGGCTCATTAGGTCCACTGAAATGTGCTGCCTTGGGAGGTGATTACCTTGGTCCCTCGGCATGGAAACAAGTCCCACCTCTATTATTCTTCCTGCTCCTTTCCTTTCTTCAGAGTGGCTTTTGTTCTCACAAAGCTGATGGGCTGAAGAGACCACCCTAACTCCTCCCTGCAGACCCCTGTTGTTCTGGTTCTGAGACCTGGAGAAGAGCTTGCCAGCCTCACTGCACTAGCTAACAGCTGGGCAAGAGGCCCCTGGGGCCAGATTGAGTGAAGGGTTCATTCCTCCTGGGATCAAAGCCCCCTCTGCTATCCGATGTTCCCATGTAACACAAACCGCTGTGGCTGCCTTATCCAACCCTTTCGTCTTCTGTCATTTCCATACAACTAGCCCAGGCCACCTCCTCTGAAGTCCTACTTGGATGCATCATTTACGCTCACGGGTGGGCCTGGGGTCTTGAAAGCCAAGTGCAAGCCCTGGGAACACCTTAGGATGAGCTGGAAAGCTTCGGAAATGGGCATGACAACAAGTGGGGGTCTGAGCCGCAGCCCAGCTCCAAGCAGACTGGCGCATCACCAGGTGGTGACGGTATTTTTTCAGCCATGGCAACCCACAAAGGCTTAGCTAAATAAGGGATCCAAAAGGCCAGCATCCAGATGGGTATTCAGTCAGTGTCTACATTTGGACACATTAGAAACCATATCAGGATGCTTTTGAAGGACTACACCATCTGTCTACCTTTGGCCCATGGCTCCATCAAAAACTTGAGAAGCCGGGCCAGAGAACAGCCCCCAAACCCTTAAAGCAAGTTCATAGGAGGTATTTTCTATGACTCAGTATTCCTGTGGGGGCATTAGGGATGGATTGCCCTAATTCACACCTTCCCAATACAGTAAAACAAGGTTCATTCAATCATCAAATACCACCCCCACCTCCACATTGGGTGAAGATGAAGAGGAAACACTGCAACCCCTACCACAGCCTCAGAATATTACCTAGACCATTGGGGGGGGGGGGAAAGAATTAAAAAAAATGAAAACATCCTGAGAAACTGAGGCAGCAGGTAATGAAATGTGACCATTCTGGAGGAGGGCTGAACCAAGTGGCCCTTGGATCAACAGGCTAATCAAAGTTTCACTGCGGCCCAACCTGAGCTGAGGGGAAAGGGGGCCGAGACTGAAAGGGCACCTTTTGTAACTGACTTGGGATTGTTTCTGTTTCTTCAGAACCAAGTAAATCCAAAGCTCCAAAAGACAAAGGGCTAGTTCTCTCAATGTGGATTCAGTAGCTGGAAGAAGAGTTCAGTTTGGCCCCCATTATTCTGATCTAGACTGACCCCTGCAGATTGGTCCTGAGCACAGCTCACCATGAGGAAATCCCGCCCCATCTGGAGAGGAGCCCAACACTGCTTGTCTAACAAGGGTAGCTCCCCCCAGAATTGACCCCCAAATCCAGGGACCAGATGAGCTTGGTATGCAAACCAAGGACATGCAAGTGCCAGAGTATTAATTAACCCTTTATCCTTTGGCTCTGTCACTGCCAATGTCAGTCACATTTCACGCTATTCTTTTTACATCTGAAAGGCTCTTTGTAAAAAGCAGAACCTTTTTAAACAGCTCATAATGGATTATGAGATGACAGACACTACCCAGCCTTTTCTGAGACATTTTCTTCGATAACCAGCTACTAAAAACAAAGTTAACTTTGTGGAGAAAAATTGGAAGCATGGCTATAGAGACAGAAGACAAATTTGGAAATCAATCTTATGGGCAAAGCTCTTCTTTGGAGCTCGATCTCCGGCAAGGAAATGTTCCCAATGTGGCCTCCCTACTGTGCTCCCCTCAGGTGCTTAAGCTTGTCACTAGGCAATGACCCTTCCTTCCCAAGTCCCATTTATCTTGCATCCAGAAGAGAATGCACAAGAACCGATTTACAATTTTGTCGTGCTGCTTTTTAATTGGTGAGTTGATCCTTGTAATTCAGAAAACGGGACTTGCTGCCTATACAGACTGGCCAGACCAGTGAGTCTGGGGACATCAATCCAGCTCCTTTGACAGAACTGCGACTTGAATGCAGCCTGAGGGGGAGAGGCCCATTGAAAGCCCCACAGCCTGGGAGCCGCCTGCCTAGCACCACTGAGGTAAGGAAGCCTGCCAGCTGGGCCAGCTGAGTGTGCCACAAAATGCGGCTTGGAAGCCGTCGGCCAGAGCACAGACCTCAATTTCCAAGTTGGCAGGTGCTGAAAACACGACAAATGTCACACTTGCAGTTCATGGCATAAGAGAGCCCCAGGGGGCCAGGACGTGAGGGAGGATGAGAGCAGCACCATGACAAGCTGTGGGTAGATGAGATATATTCAATATTCTAAAGAACAGCCTAATACTAACATTTATGTCCAGTCACTGACAGTCCTACCAAGTCAAAAAAACATCAAGGTAAGCCAGGCATTGGGTGGAAATTGTCCCAAAAGTCTTTGTAACATTTTAGACTCTCCAAGCCCCACACTACACTGAGGCTTTGGCCCCATGTTATAACTTGGTAAATTTGGACACTGACTTTTGTATTAGGCTCAATGAGTGTTTCACATGTTAAGATTTGAGGGCACAATTAACACTGGCTTGGTCTTTGATCTTTCTGTAGCTCTTTGGGGGCTGTATATCCTCGCTGTGATCAGCATAATGTCAGATTGCACACAGAGGCTTACTGTGCTTATGCACAAAAAGATTTTACAAAAATCAAGTGTTAAAAGATTTTCAGATGATTCAAATTCAACTCAGTCAAAAGAATATCTCAACTTCATGAGTCTGAATGAAACTTACATGTTAGTTTGCACATCACATTCAATCTGGAAACAATAAAACACAATTCTATGAATTACTGGAGTGTGCTTTAATCATAGAAATTTATGAACGGGACAGAATCCGAGAAACCTGCGAAGGCTTGTATGAACTGATGCCGAACTGGGACAATAATTTATACGGGACAACACTGTAAAGGAAAACACCAATGCAAAATTGAAGAGCACTGCTCAATGCAATGAGCAACCACGATTCCAAAGGGCCAATAACGAAGCCAGGGAGAGGGAAGGTAGGAAGATACCAAGTGAGACGTACGTTTTTGGACACAGCCCAAGTGCAGTTCGGTTTTGTTTGGCCAGACTTATTTGTTACAAGGGTTGTGGGGTTGGTGTTTTATTTGGAGAGAAGGGGAAAGAGAGAGGAAGGAAGGGAAGAAGAAGAGAAGGAAGAAAAGAGGGAGGGAGGGAAAGAAGGAAGGATTTAAAAAAAGGAGTTCCCTATATCAATGAAATCACAGTCCAGACCAATAACAACATTTATATGCAAGCATTTGTATATCACAAGATTTGCAAAGTGAGTGATCCTCCCACCAACTCTGTGAGGAAAATGTTACTGTCATCCCCAGCTAGGAAGTGTTTAAAGTAGGATTTGAACCCAGGGCTTCCTTTATTCCAAGTCCAAGACTCCATCCACTAGGCAATACTACCTCTTCTTTTTAAATTTTTATATATTTTATTTTGTAGCAGTTCCTAACCTTCACAAGAGACATAAAAGAAAAAGCTTTCATCAAAACCAGGTAATTCAACCACCAGGTTATTAACCTGTTTTAAAAATAATTTGCCCTCAAGATGAACACAATTTATTGATTACTTTTCAGACTGTTCTGGAGAAGGTTGGCATGGAAGCTCTTTGTTGCGTCTGGTGAAGTGCCTGGCACACAGTAGGTATTTAACTATTTCCTGACTGATTAACTGAGTTAACCAGAATAAAACCAAGCCAGCCTTGTCATCATTTCCATTATCTTACCAGCAGCCCCTGTACTGAGCATTTCCCTGCTACTCCAAGAGAAAGGCCGGATAAATAAAAACAAAACAAACCCTGCCAGAGATGCTGCCGCCTGGCCTCCCCGTGGCAGCTCACACAGGATCGCTGAGAGGACCTGAGATCTCTGAAGGAAATCATGGAAAAGCTCACGGCCGATGTCAGGCTTCCAGGTGGTACAAATCTCTGCCCACCACTGCCCCAGCCCAGCTCTTCTCACAGCTGTTCT